TAAAAATGTATGAAGGTGATGCTGGTACCTGTAGTGAATTAAGGATTGCAAACACCAAGTGAATCCCAAAGGCTGATGACACCATGGTCCCAATCCCAAATCCCCAAGTTAGACCAAAGAGAGGTGTTAAAATGCTCACACACCTGGCAATCACTACTATGGCATGTTTCTCATCTCGCTGAATGGTGGCACCAATTCCACTCCTCAGTATCTTACATACAATCATTATAAGCACCAGGAGATTTATAACCACGATGGCCAGGGCTGGAATCACGAACGCCAGTATAGCCTTAGTTTTATACCAGTTGAGCCAGCAAATAGTGTCTTCTTGAATGTATCCTCCATTTCCAGATGTTGCTGCAACAGTAACAACGGCAATTAGTAATGGGGCTCCATAGCCTACAGTAAAGGCTATGGTCATCATCATGGTCCTGGACATTCTGGAGAACACTATGACCGTGCGGTAGAGAAGCAAGAGTGCCGACAGCAGCATCCAGAAGAAGAGAGCAAGGTAAAAGAAGTGGATAAAGAATGTCACTGTACTGCAGGGACCCACTGGTGTCTTCTGCCCTTTTTTTCCAATTGCTGCTCCAATAATGAAGCATATGTCCGCAACCAGCAGGGACAGAGCGATGTTGACGATGGAGACGTGGCGCATGTACGATGTATCAGTCTTTGACATTGATTTCCAGATAAGGCTTTCGATGATGAGGCACAAAACCAAGCTGCCCATTGAAATGCATACCCCAATGTACGTTATATAGGCCAAGGTGTCGTTATCCGGGGAAACTGGTGACATCAGGATAGAAAAAGAGGTTGTGTGGTTGCATTTGCATGTTAACCTTTTAGTTTGACTACCTGGTGGCTTTAGTTCACACCCAGTAGAGTCCCATGCGCCAGTTCCATTTAAAAGGTTAAAGTTCCAAAAGACACACTGTGGGTTTCCTAATGACTCATTTTTAACATCAAAAAACAGGGAGACATTGTTCACGCTTGACTCTCCTTCAATCACAGCTACGTCTCCATTGATGCTGGTGTGAGTTTCGCTGCTGTCACTGTAGGTTGCGCTTCGAACAGGTAACACACTGTTAAGCTCGGAGAAAACAATGACGGTGACTGGGAATGACCTGCTAGTGTCTGGAAAGCCTATCTGAGTAGTAGAATTTGGGCTAAACATTTCATGGATTAAGGTATTCAGATTCCTCACGAGCTGGATATTTGATGTTGCTATGGAAATGTTCTCATTTGAGAGACTGCTTCCAATACTTTCGATTGACTTAAGGAGCACGGAGCTAGCGTTCTGGTTCGCATAGTCATCGTTGAAACTCTTCCATGTTACTCGGGCTTTCTCTGATGTAATGACATCCACAGTCTTGAGGAAATCCTGGAAATTGAGATGTGTTAAATTAAACGAAAGTGAAGATGAGACAAGCTAGACACACAGTATTTTGGCTTTTCTATAATGATCAACGAATAAATAAATGCTGATACACACTATCATACCCTTTCCTGTCACTCACTTTCATATCTGCTTACCCCCACAATCATACGTTCAGTATGATAGAGGAAGATGTCATGCTTGATTTATGGCTTAAACAGCAGCTCATACTACTTACACTACGTATGCCACATGTAATAAATGTAATCATCTTTGTATCACGTGTCCAGATATAACATAAGGAAGGTGTAAATATAAATATCTACATACCACCATCGTGGTTTTGTCCACCGTAAATGACTGTGTTTTTAAAACATTAGCAAGTTTGCTGAGTAAATCAACAACTTTCAGGAGATTCACAGGGACTGCGGTTATATCCTCAGAATTCTCTTTGGCAGTGTTACTGAGATCAGCAGCAAACAGCGGCACTTCTTCTATGTCTAAATACTGGTGTTAAAAAGAAAAAGATTAAATTATCAATCAGCCAACAAGTAGCACAAATATGTTTATCTTTAACAGGAGGTCAGAGTATTACTTCAGCTCTGTCTGCCAGGTTCTGGATGACACGAAGGGTGCAGTTGTTAGATATTATGCTCCACTGGCCTGTTTTGTTACACACTGCCCACTCAATGCCAGTCTCATCTCCCACACATTGTCTGAACGCTGTCTGATTTGCAGTCCCAACGCCGAAGCTGCTGTCAGAGCAGTCGAATGCTAACGGGGGAAAATATGTGTACGAGTACATAATTCGCACATGAATCTAACAGAAATACCCAACAGAATTGCGTAACAGTCTGAGAAACCATTATAAATGCAATTCAATTCAGCAATCAACCCCACATGGACATTATGAATTTCCATATGTATAATACAGGCCTATAGTAACATTTTAAAAATGTATTATGTCAGTAAAATTTGAATGGTGTAACGTGAGTGACTGAAAATCGAAGGAATATTCCTTGCACTGATTTACCAGTCTATTGGGACGTGTTATGCAGTGTTGTTCGCACACCCGCTGTGTATATTATGTACATCCGGAAGATTTAAAAAGACGGACAGAGCAGAGCTAAAACATCCCTGTCCGTCAGATTTCCAAGTCGAACAATTTTATAACACAGTGATGTTAAACACGCCGATGAGCTCTGTTTCTCTTAAAACCTTCCGCTGTCATCCTGACTGTTGTCATGACCTGCGCCACTAATTGAAAAACTCTGACCTTACATTCAAAAGTATTTACTAATCTAGAAAATCCAGAAGGCTGGTACACAGACCAGACTTTTCGGTAGGTTTGAGAGCGGAAATTGACAGAAATTTAAAAAAAAAAAAAAAAGTAAAAACCAACTGTAACAGGAAAACGAGCTAGTGTTAATACTCAAGAACTGTCCAGAATGGTACATAAGCATGCAATTTGAGAGACAGCGCTGGTTTGTTTAGCGATGGAAGGTGGACAGGGAAATTTGTCCATTTTTTTTTTTTTTAATCACTGAACTCCTACAGTAGTGAAAACAGTAGTGTTTGAACGGGAATTTTCAGGATTTCAGGTGTTTTAACAGGAATTTTCAGGATTTTTCGGGAGAGTGAAAAGACGAAAATAACATGTTTCGTAAAATAAATGAATAAAAAACGAAACGAGGAGAATTTCTCACCACCCCGTTTGTAAATCAAATCGCAGTAAATCAAATGTAAATCATCGGGGAACCCCTGCTTTAAACCCTTTCATGTACTGTACAATATTTTACAGAATTAGATGGAAAATCTGCCACTATGTTTAACAACACTGATTTCCCATCTAGGTATAATCCAATCTACGATAAAAAAAAACAAAACCCAACATTAAAATAAAGATGTTCGTCTTGAGAAACTGCTGCATATCTGTGGCGCAATGTAAACTTGAAAATGGTTTAATGAGTTTTTAAAGAGTTTTAATCTGAACATTTTACCAAACAATTGATTATAACAACAACGGCAAAACAAACCCTCTGAAAGACATAGAGTGTGAAACGCAAGAAAAGGGACGTGATAACTCACCTTTTTTGGTTATAGTGATTGATATGTTCTTTGAGCTATAATGTAACACGCTCAGGCTTTTCTCTGAAAGTCGACATGTGAAAATGACTCGTTTTTCACCAGCCTCACAATCCTGTTTCTGGACAGCGTAGTTGTACGCGATGCAGCCGGAGCCCGGACCTGCGATACAGGATATGTTCGGTGTCTTAACAAGTTTCAAATAGTTGAGTTTATGCGTTTATATGATCTGTAACAAAGAGCCACAACAGATTCTGTGTAATATATTCATTTTGTGTATGACCTGGAGGTGTCAGTGGAGACAGGGAGTCCTTGGTCCACTCGATTGTGTAGCTGCTGGAGGCACAGCACTGTAGCGGTATGGACAAATCCTCACATCTAAACACTTTATCAGGACCTGCTTGGATATTGGGATACGGCAGAATCGCAACTCTTTGCCACTGGATAAATCTCAGGGACTTGTTTTCGGTTATGCATTCATATACACCTGTGATATACGTGTGTTTATAAAGAGTGAGGAACAAAGGATAGCACAAAGGAAGACAAGATCACACAGCATTAGGTCTCAGTAAGTCTCAGTCAGGGATTTTCATAAATAGTTTCAGGAAACCAGAGAAACCAGATGTTGTGAATTATTCATTACTCACCACTGTCAACCGCACTCGCACTTATTACTTTAAGAGTGCGGTTGTTATTAAGGATTTTATATTTTACAGGATTTAGAAAAGGATCGACTCCATCCACTCGCCATTGGATGGTTCCCATTACTCCAGTTGGAAGAGTACAAGTTAACTGCACATCCTGCAGAGGATATATTTTGCCTGTGCTTTGGACTAGGTTGCACTCCTCTGAAATATCAGAATATTAAGAATAATACATTAAGCCACTGAATTTCATGTACCTTATAATTTCCGATATTGTATCACCATCATTACTTTGAATGGCACCACTATTAGTGACTATTAAATCTGTGATATAACGCGTACGTAAATTTAAAACGGTCAAAAACTCTAAGCACGAGGCTAACTGCCGAGGACAGGAGGCGTTTGAATTGTGATATAATCCGTGAACAATTAAAGAAATAAACCACTTACCACTGTAAGCAAAAGCATTTTCAACAACTTTAAATCCATTTGCAGTAAGCACTTGAGCGAGCTCTGAGTTTGCGGCTCTAAAATCAAGTTCATCCGTGGTGGTGGTGGTGGTAATTGCGAAGTCTACATTTACGCTGCCAGGCCTAACAAACACACACATAAAACAACATGCCAAGAATTTACCGATTCGACCTAAAC